GTCAGGTTCCATCCAGTCAAGTAAGATTCATAGTATCCCTATGAACAACAGACTTGAACACTTTCTTATCCTGTGCCAACCTCATTGTTTCTAAAACACTTGAGTCCATTACTATGCTCATTGTGTCAATTCATCTAATCTGAGGTCTCCATTTCTTTTGCTGATCTCCACCTTTCTAATCATGATATCCCTCTCCAAGAAATAGCCTTTCCTAGCAACAGACCCATCTTTATCATCCTTGCCTCCAAGGAGCACTCTGGCTTCACTTTCTCCAAGACATATATATTCATTCTGTTAGCAGTAAATGGCTATTCAGTACGCTGCTCCAACACCACAACTCAAAGCTATCAATTATTTTTCTGTTATCCTTATTCATTGTCCAGCTCTCATACGCATGTCAAGTGCCTGAAAATCCCAGGCTCACTTTGCCTTCAAATTGATGTCATTGCTCTTCACTGTTTTTGGAGAGGTTCCTGACCATGGAGGTTTCCAACGCAATATATCTCCTGATCTCCTGACTGCTGGTACCAAAGATATTAATTGTGAATACAAGTAATTTCAATTCTTTTTACATCTTTCTTGGTATTATTGCTTATCAGCACAGTAGTGAGAATTTTTTTGTCTTTTTAATGTAAAGATACAATTCTTATTAAAGACTGTAGCCCTTAATCTTCTGCGCCAAGCATTTCAAATCCTCCTCACTTTCATTATGCAAGGTTGTGTCAACTGCTTAACTGTAGATGAGTCTTCCTCCCATTCTAATGTCACATTCTTCTATTTCATGGAGTCCAGCTATGTGAACTATTTGTTCAGCATACACAGTAAATAGGAATGGAGAAAAGACAAAAGCCTGATTCATGCCCTTCCTTATTTTAAAGCATTCCCTTGTTCCATTCCAACAACAGTTTCATAGTATAGGTTTAGATTTTGTATAACCACAATTAAGTGTTCTATGATTCCCATTCTTCTCAATGTTAGCAATAGTTTCATATGAGCAACACAGTCAAAAATCTTTGGTTAGTCAATTAAACAGATATTTTTCTTCTATTTTTTACATACAGCCAAGATTCACGGGACATCAGCAAAGATATTCCTGGTGCCACAGCCTCTTCTAAACCCAGCTTGAACTTCCCACAGTTCCTTGTCAATGTGTTGTTCAAGTCATTTTTGGGTGATTTTTCTGCAATATTTTGTTTGCATATGATGTTAATGACATTTTTCTATCATTTCCACCTTCTGTTGAGTTCTCATTTTTTGTGAATGGGAACAAATATTAATCCCTTCTTGTCAGTCAGCCAGGCAACTCTTCTCCAAATTTTCTGGCACAGACTGGTGAGCACATCCACGGTTGCATCTGTTAGTTGCAACATGTGAAGAAGTATCTCATCTATTCCTGAAACTTTATATTTTGCCAGTGTCTTCAACATAGTTTGAACTTCTTTCTTTGACTTCCTTCTACCATTGACTCTTATTCACATGGTACCTCTTCAAATTTTACTGTGCCAGCCAATTCTTTTTGGTACAGTGACTCTGTATTCCTTCTATCTTTTCTTTTTTTTTTATTCTTTCTGGATGGTTCAAGATTTTGTCAGTAATTTTTCTCAGTGTTACAACTCTTGGTTTCAGCATTAAAGAGTTCTTCTCTTTTTATTTTGTAACTGCAGCTCTTTGTGCATTTTGTTATACTTGGCTTTGTCCTATGAGCTGCCCTTAGAAATCTCTTCAGTTCTTTTATTTCTGTATCTCTTTCATTTGTTCTGGCTTCTTGATGCTCTAATGTAATTTTCATAGCTTTTCTGAAACCTGTGTTTGTTTTTCTTTCTTCTATGTCTTTTTAATGACCTTTTACTTACTTCATGGATTATAGTCTTGATTTCATTCCATAGTTCCTCTGGGTTTCAATCATGAGTAACCAATGCCTCAAAATTTTTCTAAGGTGTTGAATTCACATTTGAAAGGACAGTTTCAAGGTCTATGGTACAATAAGATCCTGTTAGACATTCAGATGGCCAACAAGCACATGAAGAAATGTTCAAAATCCCTAGTCTAAGAGAGATGCAAATCAAAACAACTATGAGACATCTTCTCACGCCAGTCAGAATAGCAAAATTTAATAGAA